GATTTTCATTTCGCATTGCGATAGCCATTTCCGCGTTGCGATAGTCATTTTCGTGTTGCGAAAGTAAACTATTCTTCTTCTGCAAATTGAAACTTGAATGGATTGCATTACTTCAACCAAAAGACAAAAACAAAACCAAAAACAAATACTACAAAAACAGTTTAGCAGTATTGGCAGCAACCGAATGAATTACGAGTATGAAAAATCTTAAACTTACCTCGTTGCGTAGAGTATGAACCTCATTCTGCAACGATGCTACCATCTCACGTAGAGCGCTACCTCACCGCGTAATGTAGACCTCAACACGCCATGCACCATCATCTTTGCGTAAAGTATCAACCTCCTCACGCAAGGCATTGACTCATCACGTAACTCCCCTAACTCATCCGTTGAGGTGGAGGTGGAGAACATGGAGATAAATGTCATGGCATCTTTGTCGGTCGCCTATCTTGCGGTGATGGTGGAGAAGAGGCTCGATGATGTGACAGAATAGGTGATGGTTGTCGTTGTGGAGGTGTATAGTCGGGTCGATCAGATGATGGCTCTAGGTGAGGTGATAGCTCTGGGCGAGGTGATGGCTCCCGAAGTGGAGGCTGCTCATCAACCGTTCCATCAAAAAAACGCTTACTAGCTTGCCACCAATCAGTGGCAAGCTCAGCTTCCGTGGGTGTCAGCCTCTGTAGAGGAGTGTTGGCCTCCTAACAATATAAAGCTCAAACAAAGTTAAACGTGTACTAGTAATAACTTGTTTATAAACATATGGTAGTATTTATGTTAACTTACATTATTTATTGTCGTATACCATAGTAAATCTTCCCATTGCAAGGTCCGTTTCCTCTTCCAGGAAATAGCCCTGGGAATATCATTTGAAGTTTTTATTGCATATGTCTTCATGGCGGGAAAGGCCTCAATATCCAAATCTACAAACAATAATAACAAACATTAGTAATTGTTAAATAATTACTTATAATTTTGGAAACATATATAAAAATTCTTACCTTAAGGCCCAAATAAAGCCTGTCAAAGTGTATTTGGAACCATCGCCATGCAACTTTTCGATCATCCAAGGTAGACGATAACTTATTCCATGTAGCTTTCCATAAATACGAGCCCCACGGAAACAAGTTCCACGCATTTAGGTCTTCTACCAATTTGATTAGATCATTCGGAATAGGTTGTCTGGCCTCTCTACCTAAAAAGCTGGCATGCAAAAGTATTAGAAGGCATACTCGGACAACATCGACGTCATCCATCCGAGTAAAACCATCTTTCTTATTCAATAAGCTCGTCAGGTCTTCCACGTGTAGATTCGGCCTCTCCAGCTCAGGAAAAACCCGGGATAACCATGATGGACGGGTAATGTGTCTAGTGTACCGACCTACATCATCGTGTCCGAAGCGTAGACCGGTGATTATGCAAAACTCCTCCCGCCCAAAAACACGTATATGCCGGTGGAAAATCAAACCATATCTCTTCATCACGACGTTGTATAGTATCTGGTAGATCCCTAGTCATGGTTTGAAGAAACAGGTGTGCCAACATCGCATCTCCACCGGGATGTTGTACTTTCAGCCATGGCCCGAAGCATGTATCCTCAAACATTTTTCTTTGTGCAGGTGAAAGCTTCGACGCAATTGTTTTGGCCAGGCTGACTTTATTTCTTAAGGTCAATTGAGTCGAATAAAAGTTCTACAAAAACAATAAACATACTAAGTTAGATATACCAAAAACTACACTGTGAAGATATACCAAAAACAATAATAAACATAAAGAGTAGTAGTTTATTCTTCAAACTTAAATTTGCAACACTGTGAATTTCGTATTTGTCTTTGTTTTTTGGTTGAAGTAATGCAATTCATTCAAGTTTCAATTTGCAGAAGAAGAATAGTTTCTGAAAAAGAAAATTGCAACACGAAAATGACTATCGCAACGCGAATTTGACTATCGCAACGCGAAACTAAAATCGCGTTGCGATTTGCATTTCGCGTTGCGATTCTTGGTTGATTTAATAAGCAATCTAAATGAAATGGTTAATCTATTATTGAAATTACCAGTAAACTTATCATCAATTTCAATATGAAAAACCTAATAATAATGCAAAAATTTCAAAAAGAAAATAATTAAAAAAACTAACCCTCGTTGGTTGATTTTGGTTGATTTTCCATTTCTGATTGTGAGGGTGGCTCTGAGAGATGGAGATAGACGGATTTCGCCAGAGATGGGGACGGATTTCGTCGGAGATGGGTGAGAGAGTGAGAGATGGAGATGGGACTGAGTTGTGATTTTAGGTTATGAGTTGCGATTACGGGATATACTGTGGACGGTTCAGTGTTCCAATATATTAATATTCGTGTTTGGAATTTAAAAATAAAATACTTGGCCAGGATACTAATGGCGCTTTGAAAATCGCATTGCGATTATGTATTATCGCGTTGCGAAAGTCAGAATCGCATTGCGAAAGTCAGTATCTCGTTGCGATTTTGTATTATCGCATTGCGATAGTAAGTATCGCATTGCGATAGTCAGTATCGCATTGCGATTTTCCCAATTCGCGTTGCGATTTACTTATTCGCATTGCGAATTGGGAAAATCGCAACGACACTGTAGACCATCGCAACGCGATTTTCAACTATCGCAACGCGAAATGCAACGCGAATTTGCGATAATGGAGATCGCGTTGCGAATTAGCGATCGCATTGCGATTTTGTTGGTCATTTTGGCAAATACGAAAAAAGTTGGTTAAAATCGTATATTATATGGAAATTTTGGTCACTGAGGCGATTTTCTCTATTTAAAATACACTGAAAATTTACCCCCGCATTTATAGATTTCAAACACTTAAAGTAATCGAAATAAATAAATAGTAATTAAAAACATAAATCAAATATTTATCGAATTCAAAATTCAAGCATCAATGTCCAAAACAAAATTTATGTTTAATGTCCCAAAATAATTAAACATAATAAATAATGTCCCAAAATAAATATTAATTAAATGTACAATAGAAAATCCAAATAAAAATGTCATACTAAATAAAAGAAAATTTGGGTAATATCGCAACTCCAAGTACCGATTCTCCTAATCCGATTATCTAAAAGAGAGAAATTATGGAGTGTCAACTATAAAGCTTAGTGTGCCTCTAAAGTGCATCAGTCTCAAACAAGACATCACAAATCAACATAAAATCCAATTCAATAAAATATTCACGATCCGACTAAATATGCAATGAATGTGCACCTAAACACCTTACATCATCTAAAGAGTAGGTTCCCAGAACCACTCTAACTACTAACAACATCAGAAGTGGGGTCCGCCACAAAGGCAGAGGTCACTGAATCCGAAGTGAAATTCACCCCGTCGAATGAAAAAAACTGAACTTCCCTATCAATCGAAACTCAATATGACATGCAAATAGCACACATATATGATATCCGATCCGAATAACATATATTCGAATAACACATACTCGAATATTATATATATCCGAATTCCTATTCGATCTGAATGAGAATGCAATTACTTGATTCCAGAATCCAAATACAAAGCATAATCTGAATCTGATAAATATCACACGTCACATAACATAATTTTCTGATTTCCAACATATACATTAAGTCACATAATCATCATGTTCGAAATCAACTTTCAATCAACATGATATCCAATAAATAATTCAACAATATAACAAAACAATCATGCTTCCACTCAAATTCAGACAATCAAACAATTATCACAGACAAAATTTAGCACCAGATAGAGACACGCCTCGACAAATAGCCAACGACGACAATAGCGCTTCCCATGATCGGCCCGAACCATGGATCAAATCGAATCGGTTCCTACATAAAATTTGATTAATAATTACTATTCTAATTTTAATAAGAAATCTGAAGCTAAATCTAAGGTATTAACTAATACTCATTGTCGGTTCAAAGTTAACCGATAACAGTGGAGGAGGCGATAGATTTGATTCCGATTCGATATAACCTGCAAAAATCACGACTTCCAATTTAATATCTCGATTCAACGAATTTCAGATTAATGAAGCAATTTAACGACGATTAAAAATAATTCTCGGTTAGAATTAGGAACCGGGCAGTGGGGTTTGATTCGAACTAAAGGGAATGCCGAACAATGATGGCAGCACCTACTGCTGCCCCACAACTGTCGGTGACAAGCAGCATGGAAACAACCATGGCTTGGTGGAACGACAACCTCGGCTGCCCAAAGGAAGCCCAAACGATCGGAAGGTACTCGGTAGTGGCCACCCATGGCCGAAGAAGGTAAGACACACCCTAACCAAACCGGTGCGACCTTCTTCACGCGCAGTCCAACTACTCGACGGCCACAGAAAATTGATACACCACGATCGGTGGCGAGAGAGGTCTCGGTTTAAAGTATTGAACAGTGACGCACAACAAACTAAGAAAGTATCGCGATCGTCTTTTGGTTGAACTTCGGAATTAGACTTCAACTTGAATAATTGGGTTAGAATTGACATCGATCATTTAAAATGAATTTAGGTGGGTCGGACATCATCTTACCTGATCTGCGTTGTACCAGAAACGTGTCGGGTTCAGGAGTCAGTTACGGTCAAGGAAGGATTAACACCTTTGAACCACCCTTTCGGTACCAATTAATTTATCGGTTATATTTAATTGTGAAAATAAAAAATTTAAATTTAAATTTAAAAACCTGATTCAAATTATTTACCTTTAATCGATTGAAATTACTCATAAAATATAAGAAATGTCATATAGGAAATAATAAATGATTATTAAATAAAATTAAATGAAAAGAAAAAAAATTATAAAATAAAAAGAATAAGTTTACATCTAGATTTACGTGTAGAGAAACTGAATTTATAATGCAAATGTTCTGTCACTCGTTGTGTTTTAGATACTGACTTTGACTTTTCAACGCTCATTTTTTTTCTTTTCTTCTTCGTATCACTTTCATCTAATACATCATCATGTATTAAGCTTGCAGTATGAATCCTTTCAATGATCTCCCAAGAACTGCAAATCAGCTATAAGAACTTTCAGGCTTGCTTTAGCGTTTTCCGAATTCTTTTTCAGTAGCGAAGTGGCCTCTTCACATGAATATTCCAACATGAGATTTTCTCCCAGCCATGAACAAACTGAATCGTTATCCTCAATGCGAGCCCGTGAATATAAGCCTTCAGAGACTTCAAAATCAGCCATAAAGGCCTCGCCAGTACCCCCTTCCTCCAAAGTGGCAACCACGTCCAAGCATTTATCAATATCTGGAATTTTTGTTGTTTACTGTCTTTTGGTTCATGCCCCCCTTTTTTGTCTTTTTCATGCTTTGTTCTTGTTTCCCGGCTCGTTGAACTTTGCTCTCGAGTAGTTGACGAAGCAGTTGGAGATCAACCACGAGGTCGATGCGTCGCAAAAGAGTAGCGTGAGAAATCCTGGCGACATACTGGAGAGTTGCAATGTCTTTAACAACGGGGATCAGACCAAAATTTGATCGGAAACCCAGAACAGGGAACAAAAGAGAAAAAGAGAAGGAGTCAGTGAGTACATGAAGCCATGAGAGTGAGGTTGAGAGTGTTTTAAAAGCAAAGGAAATCCAAAACAGAGACGGGAGAGAAGAAGGGTCCCACTGAGTCCACTAACTGATCTCCACTGTCTTTTTTATCTCTTCCCCCTTGTTGTTGGCGCATAGAGCTGCATATAAAGCAGTTAAATGGTTCCACATTCATCCACGACCCAGGAATCATTAAACCATGAAGGTCGGTCTTTAAGGACTTCAGAGACTCTAGTGGGATCGAGTCCCACAAGTTCACATGCACGTCTATAAGAAATAACAACGATTCCCATGGAATCCGGACCCGGCAGCACAAATTAATAAAGAAAGTGGGATAGTGAGGTTGAATATGGGGCCAAAAAGATAATAAATAATAATAATAATAATAAATAATAATATAATATAATTTTTTTGTAGATCCGAAAAAAATGGTTGTCTACAATTGTCTCTCTTTGTCGTTTTTCGTGGAATAAAAAATAAGACAAAGATAAAATGTAACACCCGTAACTCGTATAATTATACCTATACAGATTACGGATGTCACCCGAATTTCTGAAAAACCATTTTCATTTCAAAACTCGATTTAGAATTTAAATTCCTTAATTGGTAATTGATATTATAAAAATATCATATCATATAATTTATATTACGTTATAAACAAATTTAATTCAAAAGATTTTTTTTGAATAGTAAACAATACCCGTGAACAGTGAACAATGTGCAGTGGCGATGAACAGTGGGGGAATCGATTCTCTGTAAGGGGAATCAGTACCCCAAAATCATTCTGGAAAATCTTTTAATTCGTGGTTACTGTTCATGCTACAGCAACTGCTACAGTAACTTTCGAAAATACATATAAATTCAATAAAATTCCATTTCGTTTCGAAATTTGTTTTAACAAAACAAATAAAACATTTATAATTACATGACATTAATAAAACTAACATTACAACTTAGGATGTCTTACTGATATTGAAATCTACTTCTCGATCTTTTATGTCATTCCGAACTCTTTGTTCGACTACTGGCTTTTTACCTACGCGTGAAAATCATCACACGCTAAGTATATACTTAGTGAGACAATTAAAACATTTAACAATGCAATACAATTCATGCATGATTTTCAATGTCAAAAAATCAATTTTCCATAAAATCATTTTACTAACATATCCAATATTTTACCATGATCAAAATAATATAAAATCTCTTACCATTTATCCCATAAGCTTGTAAGCTTATTTTACCAAAATACGTACCATTTAAATTCCATAAGCTCGTAAGCTTATTTTAACAATATATTTACCATTTGTTCAATAAGCTCTAAGCTTATTTTTACCAATATATTTACCATTTAATACCATAAGCTCATAAGCTTATTTTTCCAATATACTTGCCATTATTCCGTAAGCTCATAAGCTTATTTGCATGGTTACCATTTATTAACCAATAAACCAAAATCCATAGCCAATAGCCCAATATTAAACGTTGAGGACCCTGGGTATTCGAGTAAAATACCTGCACCGTAGTGCTAAACTTGCACTAAGCTTACGCCATGGTACTAATCCGGACAATACACATAAGGTCGTGCCCACCACCTACACTAAGCTTACGCTATAGTGCTAATCTGGACATAAACCTGCACTTAGTGTTCTTACACACTATAGTGCTAATATAAACCTGCAGCTGCTATACTCTATGGCATGCCAACTATACCCTGTCCCTCAATGACTTATTTGGGCATATAGTCTATTTTATTTAATTCATCCATGGCAAAGTATATTATCAATATTTAACATTGGGCAGTTCATACCCAAAAACATTCATGGTAAAATATCATAATTTTCATAATCAATGCATTATATTTTCAACCTTTGACATATTTAGAATATATCAAATATATGATAAATGACATAAATATCATGTCAACATAAACAAGGTCGACTTATCGCAAGTCTTCCTGATGATGTATAAAACATCCATGTATAATGTCATGCATGTATTGCACTCACCTTGACACTTTATAATTTTCCAAATTTGTGTCTCACTATTGTCCACAATAAACCCACTTGACTTACTTCAAATCGCAAATCAATCATAATCTGTAATATTCACAATTTCATAACGATACATATGTTAGTATTCTACTAACATAAACATATCCCATAATAACTCCATAATATATTTGAAACACATTATCTATCAAAATACTTGTCTCTTAATAATTCCTTTAACATTGGAATCAACTTTACCAATTTACACAAAATGGTCCTTCACCATTTTACCACTTAAATTATTAATACCAATAATTCCAGCATTGAAATTATTTCCATTCAAATGCTTTTACAAAAGCATAATTACATCTAAGTACCCCAACTATGAAATTGTTGTACTTAAATCAATAATATTTTCAAACTTCTAAAATAGTCATATTTCACATATAACACCCATTTAAATTCCCAAACACAATTTCCAGTGTAGTACGTCAAATATACAACACTTTCACAATAACTCATCAATTTTCCAAAATTTACGAATTGATCTCCAACTTTTCAAAACTTACAAAATGGTCCCCAATTTTTCTAAGGCTTGTAGCATACTTCCTTCATCATTTCCAACCCATATATAATTTTTCCATAATTTTTCTCACTCAAACCATTCATGATCGAAATTTAAAGAACAAGTTCTAAAAAGATTAAACATGTTCTAATCATCTTTCATGTTTGATATATGAATCTACTACCTCACAAACATCAAAATCCATCATCAATTTCATGATCCTTTATATGAACACAAACCCTTAAATTTGGGATCTTTGAACACCAACAAGATTACCATGCAATATTGGTACCAAAAGATAGAGTTTTTCGCGTATAACAATTTCCTATCTACAACTTACTCAAAATCCTAAGTAAATTGCTTGAAAATTTGAGTTGGAATTTTTCTCTTACCTTAATAGGAACCCACGGCTGATTTGGGAGAAGAACATGAGCTGAAAATGCTCCCCCATCATAATACTCTAATATTAAATTAATCTAGCACATGTCTTAATATAATATAATAGAATCATTTTATTCAATTCAATAGGAAATTCCATTTTTGCCATTAATGAATCTCCATATTCACCATAAAACCATGACAACTCATCCTTATCATATTTCAAAGTCAAAGCTGAATTATTTTGACTTTTAATTCTGAAATTCCCCTTGAATTTTTAAAATTTACGATTTAGTCACTAAATTCCACTGTTTCGGTTAAACCTTAAAATTTGCACATTTCCAGACCAAATTTCTCTGATCCAAAATATTAAAATAATATTTCCAATAATTTTATAACATCCTTCCAATTTTTGTAAAATTCCAATTTGATCTGAAATACCGATTTCCTTACCGGCTTTAACCCCTTCTAGTTTTTCTTTACTAAAATTCAAATTCCAAAAATATGATTTCCATAAAACTCCACTCTCAAGAGTAAACCATCTATTTATGGAATAAAATTCTTTTTAGGAAATTTATCACTTAATTTCCTCAAACTTTTCCCAATTTATTACTTTGACCATCAAACTTTCAAAATTTTCATTTTGGTTATTATCTCAATTTTTGGGGTATTACATAAAAAGACATAAATTTTCGTTCGGTGGAGTTGAAGAATAACTCCCTGTCGGATTTTGAGTTGCGGATGGCTCCTCCGTCACGAAGTTGAGTCAATCTTGAAATGATATGGAATTAAAACCGTAGTCCGAAATTTGAATCGGAATGTGGCTTCTCATCGTAGTCCGTTTCTGTCTTTTTCTCGGTTTAAATACCTTGGTTTGAAAATTCGACTGGAAAATAATTCTTCCACCATGTGGTTGATAGGCCCTCGAGCTGAATGAAACCGAACTCGAAAGGTCTTCGTTGACAAATAGCTTTTCTCGACTTAAGCTATGCTGTCAGAAAAATGATTTATTGTCACTAAGGCACGGCTAACCTAGGTATTCTTCTCAACTTGAGAACCTCGACTGTAACCGAACAGTAGTGTGATTAATGTGTCATCGAGCTGAATGGAATCAAACTCGATAATTTTTATTGACAGATATCTCTTCTTGCCTTGAACTATGCTGTAAATTTGATTTGCCTTTGAGTTGAATGACACGGTTCAAATGATGCTTCAAGAGAAGTTGTCTCAAACGAGATAGAATTCGTTTAAAGGGAAACGATCTCAAATATATTTGTTTTTTCATGAGAAACGGTCTCAAGGGAAACAAAATTTTGTTTTAAGGGAAATAAATTCAAAGATTTTTTGTTTCAAGAGAAACTGTCTTAAGGGAGACAAAATTTGTTTCAAGGGAAACAATCTCAAAGGTTTTGTGTTTCAAGAGAAACATTTTCAAAGGTTTTTTTTGTGTTTCAAGGGAAACAATTTCAAAGGTTTCTTTTTGTGTTTCAAGAGAAACTGTCTCAAGGGAGGCAAAATTTTGTTTCAAGAAAAACATATTCAAAGATTGGTGTTTCAAGAGAAACTGTCTCAAGAGAGACAAAACTTTGTTTCAAGGGAAACTGTCTCAAGAGAGACAAAATTTGTTTTAAGAGAAACTGTCTTAAGAGAGACAAAACTTAGTTCTAAAAGAAATTGTCTCAAGGGAGACAAAATTTGTTCCAAGGAAAACAGATTCAAAGATTTTATTTCAAGGGAAACTGTCTCAAGAGAGACAAAATTTATTTCAAAGGAAACTGTCTCAAGAGAGACAAAATTTGTTTCAAGAGAAACTATCTCAAGAGAGACAAAACTTTGTTTCAAGGGAAACTGTCTCGAGAGAGACAAAATTTGTTTAAAAGGAAACTGTCTCAAGAGAGACAATTGTTTTTTAAAGAGAAACTTTCTCAAGAGAGACAAAACTTTGTTTTGAGTAAATTAGTCTCAAGCGAGACGACCCCTTGTTTCGAGAGAAGCAATCTCAAAGGTGATCGATAATTTGCTTGTTCCTGCATGTTAAAGAAATCTTTTTAGAAGCTCTAATCGTTGACTTAAGGAAGTCAAATCTGTGGATGACATGTTTGCTGTGACACTAAATCACTTCATCGGGCACGATATTCTTCTTCATGAAGTTGGAATCGTGGATGGCTCATTCGCTGTGAAATTGAGCTTTTAATTGGATGCCCTTCGTTGTGAAGTTAAAATCCACACTTGTAAAT